AGAATAAAAATATATTATATTTATATTTTAAAGAAAAAATAAACAACCCAGTGGCAGTTACTTAACAAAAACAAAAAAACCCTAATGTTTATTGTTGTTCTTGACTGTTGATTTTTTTTTAACAATAACTTTTTTTTTTTTTTAAAAAGGCACTGCTTACTTTAAGACACTGAAACAGCCTTACCCCTGAGTCCTGCAGAGCCCATAGATATCTTCTCTTGCTGGTACTGCTCTCTCTGTTGCTGAACAAGAGGTAGGGTCTGCCCCTTACAGTTATATGATGTACAGTACCTAATGACTTGCTCATAAGCACCTTTCATAAAGCAAACTTCAGGTTTGTCCTAAAAGGAAAAAGAGTTGTTGCATGCACATCTGTGTGTGTATACCTAAATACACACACACACAAGTATATACACATGCACACGTTGAGAACAGTGTATCTCTACTTTTCTAAAGGTTTCAGAAATCAATGCAAATCAAAGTTACACTTATAAAACTAAAAAATCTGGTTTAGTATCTCTATACAGTGTATGTTCAAGAGTGGTAATGTGAAAAGAGCTAAGCTAATAATCAATATCCCATTTCAGCAGACCTCATACACATTAGATACTGTGGGTCACATTTATAGACTAAAGAGGCCATGCAAAGGACAGGAATTAAATGTACACAGAACATTAGTCCTGAAAGACCTTTAGCTCATCATCTGATCAACTGCACAGGTCATTAAACATCACCTGCATCCTTGTACCATACCTAACAACTCTGATATTTTCCAGACAGCCTCTAGCCTTGATGGTACAAAGGGAATGACAATCCACCACTACCTCGAATGCTGAACTCCATTGCTAAATCAACTCTTCCCTTCCCCCCTTTTCCATTAAGAATTGCTGCCTCAGCTCAGTTTCCAATCACCGATTCTCATCTTCTCTTCCCTGTTGAACTAAAAAGCTCTATTTTGATATATCTGTTTTCTCCCTGCAAAGGTATTTTATGCACAGTAGTCAAGCTACCTCAATCTTTCTGGTAGGCTTAACTGACAGAGCTTAAAGTTTCTAAACGCACTGCATTTTCTTAGCCTCCAAGTAATTTATGCTCCCATTTTCAGCAATCTTTTAAAAATGCAGATACCAAAACACAGAAACAGTAAATCCTTCTATAGATGAAAATCATATGGCAATTCCTACCCACTATTTTTGATACAGACAAGGATAATACAACCGTATTATCCATACAGATAAACGGAGTCAAATGCTTTGTTTCCAAAGCAAAGATTTTACTGTGGTACTTGAGCACTGCCAGCAAGCCTCTTTTTGGTCAGAAGTACTTGGCAATTTTCCATAAATCCACGATAAGGTCTGCTGTTGCATATATTATCCAGAACACTCCAGTTATCAGACAGGCAGTGACTATGTCAATATTTCTCACAAAAAGATTCAAATTGGTCTAAATGAAATATAAATGCAAGTATGTATGCGAAAGCACCAGAAGCTGGAAAAAGAGGTTAAAGAATGGTTTGTGTTGATAATCCAAGACACTGATGACATCAATAGTCTGTCAGCACTGGAGAATGTGCCGTCTGCATCAAACCCAGAAAACCTGTATTCTCAAACAAACAAACCAACCCACTATTGAACATCAACACATATTCTTGCTCTTAAGTCATTATATAACTGTGCAGCCCTGAAACAGCAGAAGATTGGCATAATTGCTTTAGATGTTTGAGAAGGGAGGAAAAGGAAGAAAAAAAAGCCAGGTATACATTCAAAGCCTCAGTATCAAAATACATGAAATAATTTCCCAGTATGCCTTTTATGGAAAGAATTTCTTGTGATTCTTAACTTCATCTCCACTTCAGAGTTCAGAACTAAAGCTGTGTCTATTACTGAACCATATTCCCAGGATTGACTGTACACTACTACCAGCCTGCCATAACATCTGAAGTGAAAAATGAGGGCATTAAACACAGTAGGTAACAGTTCTACAGAGCCAGTGCACAAGGAAACGGAGACTGAAGTTTACCTGCTGCGTTCTGTGAACGCATTTAACAGCCATCCATTTTTGTTCCGAGCTGAAGGGGTATTCAGCTTTCCTTATGTAATCTTCCTGGACACCATCTAAGCCCATCTGTATAAAACAGAAGTACCACCACAGCGTCAGCACCTTTTCTTTACAAACAGCTGTGCAATTTGTTGACATGTTGAGACATCTTCCTTAACAGTCATTACTTTGTTAAAAACCAGTTTCACCGCCAAAGTTGCCTTTGAGGACACCATTCCAGTTCAGACAAACCAGGACTGGAAGAACCTAGAAGCTTCATTCAGACATCAGCATAGGTCAGAACATTTGACGCTGTATACAATCTTTGACACAAGGATCTTCACATACTTTGTACACTATGACCATCCACAAACACAAGTCTTACAACGGCTAGCAAGGTAGCTCTTGATTTGACAAAGCACGTCTAAAGCCCCAATGTTTTGTGGGCTTTTGGGGGAGGTGGGGGGTTTATTTGTCTGTTGAGGGGTTGCAGTTTTGTTTGTTTGGGGTTTTTTTTCCATTTTCCATGTAATTTCTCTGCAAGGAGGGCCTACAAAATTATAACACAAGGCTGTGACAAAGTCTACAGAAGGCAAGTCACTGATTTTAAGTTTGAATAATCCACCCTGTATTGGGTTTGTGTGGCAGGGTTTTGGTAGTGGGGTAGGAACTATAAGGTTGGCTCCTGTGAGGAGCTGCTAGAAGCTTCACTGGCTTTGGGTCAGAGCAGCCTCTGGCCAAGGAGAAGCCAGTCAGTGACAGTGGTAGAGCCTTTGGGAGAACATATCTAAGGGAGGGTGAGGGGAAACAATTGCTGGGGATAGTGCAGCAGAGAGGAGTGGGGTGTGAGAGAGACAGCCAGGCAGACAGCCAGGCAGACACCCCAGTCAGTGAGGAAATGGGGGAGGAGGTGGCCGGAGCAGAGGTTCCGCTGCAGCCTGAGGTGAGAGGACTGACCACAAGCCCCATTCCCCGTCCCCCTGCACTACTGGCGGGGAGGAGGCAGAGAAAGCAAAGCTGAGCTCAAGATGAAAGGAGGGATGGGGGAAAGTATTTTTACGATCTGGGTTTATCTCTCATTATTCTACTCTGATTTGATTGGTAACAAATTAAGTTGATTTTTTTGTCACCCAAGTCGAGTCTGGTTTGCCCGTGACCATAACTGGTAAGTGATCCCTCCTTGTCCTTGTCTCAAACCCTTCCTTATATTTTCTCCCCATCCCAACGGGGTGAGGAGTGAGCAAGCAGCTGCATGGTGCTTAATTGCTGCCCGGGCCTAAACCATGACACAACCTGAAATTACATTTTTTTTTCCCCAGTGATCAGAACCACCCAAAGATTTAATCTGAAACTAACCATGAAGACTCCAGACAAAAACATTTCATCCTGAATGCTGTTCTCTCCCCACTCTGATGCAACTCACAGCATTCCATGCTCTACCTTTAATCAAGTCCAAGAGAAAGCTCTGTTTACAGGAGATGCAGAAGCACCAGCCTGCCATAAGCCATTCTCAGTACTTACAGAGCTTCACAACTCCTCCACTACTTCCCTTTCCAGCAACAGATGTGAAAGACCCCCATTCTTCTCAGTTTTGATGGGCTCTTGCTAAAATACTGGTCCTTTCCAGTCAAAGACTGGGGACATGGAACTAGTCTCAACAAGAAGATAGATAGAACACCTCGGGCATCAGTTACACAGGGAGAGAAAGACTGTAATGCATCCATCTTTCAAGGTTTTTTAGTTTATTCACCATCACAGGAAAAAAAAAATCAAGTGTTAAGCTGCATGACCACATTTCTCAGTAGCTGTAATGGGTGTGTCACAGCATCATAAAACAAAACATTTAGCCACTGTATCCACAATTCAAACTACCTGTGTCCCACACTTAAAGGACACTAAAAATGCTGCAGTCACCAATATATCAGTTATCCACTTAGTGCTTCTGATGAAAACTGGGAAAGAGACAGCGCAATCAATGTTCAACTGGTAAATTAGCTTGTGGGAAGTAAAATGACAGTACTAAGTGCAAAAAGATGAAAAAATTAAAGATTTTACTTCATTTCTAAATAATTTTCTCTCACCTTTCAGAACACCCAAAGGTTTCCAACAGGTAAGAAACAAAGAAGATGACAAGTTGTAATACAAATCTAGGAGCCCCGAAGAAGAAAACAAGTGGAAAAAAACCCCATCCAAACCAAACTTATTTCTACACACTCCCCACCTTCCACAAATCCAAACAGCACCATCAAGTACGCACCTTCATAGCAAGCGCAATTAAAGCCCCTTCTGTTGGCTTCCCCATTAACGTGTTGTTTCTAATCAAAGCATCATTGCATACACAACCAGCCTAGAAGGCGAGGAAAGAAAAGGGAGAAAACAGAACACAAAGTAAATGCCGTACAAAGCTCTTGTGCTACATCATTAAGTAAAACTCACCTCTCTGTGCCAAGATCTTACCTCAACAATTTTGCTAATGGATGGGTTGTTAAAACCATGAATAACTTCACCATCGAGCATCACTTCTCCAAACCTATTATAACCTACTCCAGTAACCTGCAAGAAAAACAGCCAAGGGCAATATTATGTAATGTTCACCAGGTTCATAAACTGTTTTAATCTCAGCTTTTCACCACAGACTACACAAATCTTGGAAAAGGCCATTAATATGACTGATTATACCCAGTGACAAAGGATGAGGAAAAGCTTGAAGTACTTAATGCCTTCTTTGCCTCAGTCCTTAATAGTAAGACCAGTTGTACTCAAGGTGCCTAGTCCCCTGAGCTGGAAGGTGGAGAGCAGAATGAAGGTCCCATAATACACGGGCAGATGGTTAGTGAACTGCTGCAACACTCAGACCCAAGTCTGTGGGCCATATGGGACCCACCCATGGGTACTGGGGTGGGGGGGAGGGGAGAAAACCCCCCCCAAAAAGCCACTTTCCAGCATTTACCAGCAGTCCTGGCTAACCGGGGAGGTCAGCTGACTGGAGGTTATCCAGTGTGATGCCCACCTACAAGAAGGGCCAGAAGGAGGATCCAGTCTGACCTCAGTGCTGGGGAAGGTTATGGAGCAGATCATCTTGAGCGCCAATCACATAGCCCATGCAGGACAATAGGTGATCAGGCCTCATGATCACCTTTCAGTTTATGAAAGGCAGGTCCTGCTTGACTAACCTGATCTCCTTCTATGACAAGGTGACCCGTCTAGTGGACAAGGGAAAGGCTGTGCATGTTGTCTACCCAGACTTTAGTAAAGCCTTTGACACTGTTACCCACAGCATTCTCCTGGAAAAAACTGTCTGCTTACAGCTTAGGTGGAAGCACTCTTTGATGGGTAAAAAGCTGGCTGGCTGGCCAGGCCCAGAGAGTTGTGGTGAACGGAGTTAAATCCAGCTGGTGACCAGTCACAAGTGGTGCTCCCTGGGCCTCAGTACTGGGGCCAGTTCTGTTTAATATCTTTACCAATGACCTTGACGCGGGGATCGAGTGCACCCTCAGTCAGTTTGCAGCTGACACCAAGCTGGGCAGGAGTGTTGATCTGCCTGAGGGCAGGAAGGCTCTACAGAGGGATCTGGACAGGCTGGATCGATGGG